AAGGCCGAAACGCCGTAAAACCAAAGGTGTACGAGCCATAAGGCCGAAATGCCGTAAAACTTGGATCACGGTGTTGTTCGGTTGCTCTAAGTATATCTGTCCTGTTCTGGATGTCTGATTGGGATCTTCTTGTTGCTTTTTGACGATTACACCGTATATTCTATATTCAGTCCTTTAAATTTGAGGGATTGACATAATTGGTTTATTAGTATCATTAATGTTAATCGGTTTTTCTATGGAGTCATTCGATTGTTTTTCATACGGAGTCATCCGCCTACGTGGCATAAACATGTGTATTAAAATAAGGGAAATGCTACATTGACAACCTAGTTGTAAATGTGGTTGACAGTATATCATTTTCCTTAAAATAAACCACGTGTGTTATTTTTATTTTACATAGATAAAAAAAAATAGAAAACTAAAAAAATAAAATATATAACCTTGAATAGATAACGAATTTGCTTTCATATCATACAATACGCCGCCGTTCACGTCCAATCTGCTTTTCCATCCTCAGCCTCTCATTCTCCCACAACAGCCCCGTCTTGCCGCCACCTATTCCTGCCCGGTCTCCGGCAAATTGGAGGAGATACCTGCTCTTCACGGGAATTAGACGGTGACATCGCCTTCAAATGGAGGACAAAGGCACGGTGATCTCGTCCTTGTTTAAGAAATAAGAATATTTGACTCGACTCATTTAATAAATTGAATTCGAGTTTTACGAACAAAATTGAGTTGCATTCACTTAATAGCTCGGTTCGACTAAAAGCACTACCTAACGTAGCAACTCAGAGTAATAAAAATTTCTTGCTACACCCGTAAATTATAACTTATTTAATTACCTTGTAAGCTTATTATATTCAAATACATAATAAAACTTTTTGGCTACGTCCATAAGTTCTAACTTATTTAGTTATCTTGTAAGCTTATTATATTCAAATACGATTGGCTTGCTAGAATAAACTTTTTAAAAAAGATGGATCTTATTTTGTAACTTTTTATGTAGTTTTTAGTTGATTTCTAAATGAGGTTAAAAATTGGTTGGAACATGACTTAGCAGGTGTTGTTCATTCTCCTTACTTTTGAGCATGACTTAGTAGGTGTTGTTCATCAGCGCAGTGTGGTCATGTAGTNTTCAAATTTAAGGATTTAAACATTTTCTCGTAACCATGCAACATTTACATTCTCCAAATATATAAAATATTAATAAGAATCGTAATCGCATGCCATCGTTACAAATCCAAAATACAGTAAAAAATAGGTGGATGGTTGTACGGAATAAGTTAAAAGAAAAAAAAAATATGTTATAGCGGTTTTTGGGTGAAAGTCATAAGTTTTTTTTATTAAATGCAACTTATTTTTATTAAATGAACTCATATTATTATTAGTTGAAGGCTGAATTTTAAATGAAACTTGTCAACAATTATATATATAGATTGACAAATGAATATTATATATAAAAATCTTAATTAAAATAAAATTTATTTAATATTATATATCACATTTATAATTGAATCATTGCATCAAAGACTCTAAGTTGGATTTTTAAAATAAAAAGAAATAACAATATAAATGGAGATTTACCATACATTAATGACTATTATTATATGAATATAATGAATCATCTAAATTTTATACTCTTTGAATATTATATTAATAGAAAACATACAATTATAAACAAAGTAAAACAAAAAACTTAAATGAAACAACATAAATATTGTATACCATATAAATTGATATTTTTAGAGAATTATTGTACAAATGAAATATTATTATATTAATATAATAAAATACATGTACGTTTAGATTATTTCATCTAATAATTTTTCACTTATAAGCAAATACTTATATGGTGTTATTTCATTATAAAAATATGTGGTCATTACTAAATATCATAATCACTTATTACAATAATAATTTTTTTTTTTCACAAATATGCAAGTAAAATAAAGAACCATTGCATCTCAATAGGCTAGTGTATAAACTTTATCTATGTTACAACAATTAAAAAATTAATTTTGAATAACAATTGAAAAAAATAACATAAGTTAATAAAACTACCATTAATTTAATTATTAAAATGACTGAAGAAAAAAATAGGTAAGATTTTTTATGAATTAATATTGGAATCCCTACATATGAAAACACAAAATAATAGTTATGATTATGATTTATTTTTATAAACTCATTTTTAAAGAAAATTCACATCTATGTATTACTTTACTTCTAATAATTGCCTTAAAAATCAAATTTATTGTACTAATTACCAGAAAGGATATATTATTGCAACAATTACATGAAATAATAAAAACATGTAATATTACTTACCAAATATACAAATAGTGTAATTATACTAATTTTAAGACAACCATCCTGACTTTATTGACTATGAATTAAAATATTAATTAAAAATTAATAGATGTAACCACAATTAAAATAGAAGTTGAAACATACTATAATTACCTCAAGAATATGGGCGGGGAAAAAGTAGGCTATTACATTAATGTAATAACCTACAATTATATATATATATATATAGATTATGTAACTTTCCTCTTAGGCGCAATCGATCTAGTTTAAACGAGTTTCAACAGGTGGATCGATGTAATTGACATCTGGTTAGTGGGCTTTGACAGGATTGACCCCTTTTTTTTAGCAAATCTGTTTAAGACGAGTACAAAGATAGGTATAGCCAACACTTTTCCCATCTCAATGAAAGTCTCTATTTCAGTATGGAAAATTGCTCAAGTGGAATCAGTTGAAGTAACGGGGTGGGGCGCCAGGAAGCCCCGCTTAGCTTGTATGAGACTACCATTGTTCACCCTTTGTTCCACCATGCGGTTTGGTTTCCCTGCCTGGCGTGCCTGCCCTCTTTCAGTCCATATATATATAGATTATGTAATCTATTTTTAGGATTGGTAACGCAAAACACTCCGACCCGCTTGAAATCGGCTCGTCTTCCTCCTCCTCGTCGGTAGAACGCCGCGTACCTGCAAAGATTCTTCACACCAGAGGAGTTTTCAGGTGAAGAGTCTCCGATGGATGTATGAATTCAAGCACAATTGCACATTTAACAATAGAATAACATGCTCATCCCTCATATTCTACCTAACATCTGTAATGCAAATAGAAATTGAGAAAAATGTATCATGGCAAGAGCATTTTGTGCTCTACATAATTGTTTCGGAAGAATATTTCATGTAGTTGATGGATAAGATCCAACATCCAGTGGATGAGGAAAAAGTGATCAGAAAGATCTCGACACCATTAAGAAGAAAATAACATTAATTGGATATCCTAAGCTCCAGTATCATAGGGACCTAAGTATGATTATCATTATCTATTTACTTATGATAGTAATGGCTATAAATTAGGCTTCAGCTCATTAGGATTGGTAGGAAAATGTTAATAATTTTTCCCTATTGTATGAACTGGGTAGTGGAGTTATCTTCAATTGGCTCTTGACTCAAATCTGTGTTGATGGAACTCAATATGTATTGACGGAAAGATCATTTTTTATGTATAACTATAGTAACCATCTTCCAGTATGTTCAATAGAGTCATAATTTCTATATGAGGATGTAGGGGAAATATGTGTAGTGGCATAAATTCAAAAACTTAAACACAACTTTTAAGGAAATGGTCAATAATGAAGAGACAAGGTATTCTCGATTCATCCATTGAAAAATGATCATGGCAAATAACTGGAGACACATAAGCAATATAATGTTTTCAGGCTATGATGCATCAAATAGACTAAAAACAAAATAAAGAGATTAACCATGGGAACCAAAGCATACTCATATTCCGTCATAAACTTCCATTAACTCCCTGCATCCAGTCACATTAATACATTCGCTACATAATGAAATATAAACATTTGAGATTTACCAGAGCTTAAAGTTAAAATGACACAGTTTCCTCCGAAAATTGCAAAGTTGTAATAATTATCCAAAACAAAATTCCCACCAACAACCAGAACTTTAATTTTTTTTCTTTAGTCAAATAATGTTAATGCCATTAAGAATTACCTGTACCTCCAACAGACCATAAATAAAATTGATAAGCACTTCATCTTCAAAACAAATTAGCTCAGCTACACGCTTTGCCATCCACGATTTCATAACATCCATCTTCACTTTCATCACGTCCACCTAAACAACAAGATATTAACAAAAGAATAAATCATAATTAAAGTCAAACATGCTGCCACCTCCCAACAAGAAGTAGAAATTTATGATATCACAATAAACAAACAACGTGAGGTAAACAATACATATCATGACATCATGAGTACTCAATAATGATAAAAGTTTTGCCACCACGGCAAAAATGCAAATTGACAAAATGAAATATCTAAAATTAAGATTGGTATAAACGAACAAATCCACCCTCAGCCACCGTTCATTTCTCCATATTTTCTTTTATCTCCATAACTCCATAAAAAAAATCTTACATCCCATGTATTCTTTGCCTCTGTCATCCCCTATGTTACGCTCATCATCATGCTTTCTATTCCATTCTTTTGGATGTTATTGAAAGAAAGTAATCTTTTTGTCCATGGGCCAAGCCAAGTTTTCTTTCTCCTCCTTTTTTTTTAGCAAACCTACTGTTGCTGTAGAATAACAAAATTTGGGGACAACCTAGTTTTCATGACTAACTGTCAAAACTCAAAACATGGGGCTATATATAAATAAATCAACATTTATTATGTTTATCCATGTGCTATATTCAGCAGTTTACACTAAATAAACCCAGTTCATGAAAATTCAATTTAGGCATATCAATATAATTTAGGGTTGTCTAAAAAAAAAGGAAATTGCAGTTATATGTGATGGATGAAACGGTCTATCTCGAGATCGAAAAAAAAAATTAACCAAGAAGAGCTCTCAACCAAAAAAAATTTATTTTACTTTAATCACATATTAAATAAAATCTTCAGCAAAATCTACTAACCAGAAAGGTCAATCGTGTAAAACAAAAACACAAATTTCATATAGGTTCATGCAGATCACTACGCGCGCGCCCTAGCTCATGCGCTTCACTTCAGCGGAACTGCCAGAGTGAGGAGGCGGCGAGTTTGGCGATTCTGCTCTTTCCGGAAGAGGTTGGGGGTGGAGAAGTACTCGGAACGTCGACAGCGGCTTGGACGTGGGGTCTCCAGTGAGATGCTTGAGGTCGACGTAGTCCGTGGCGGAGGTGGGGTGGCCGAAGGAGAAGTCGCAGTTGGCGACAGCGGAGAGAGCATATTGTTTTATTTCTGTATAGAATATGATCAGCAATCCTGATAAAAAGTTAATCAATTCTGTTTGCATTTAGTTGCTTATTTACGCCTCACTCATTGGTGAGCTAGCGTGTTAAACTGAAAGTAATCTCCAATCATGTTACATATTGTTCGAGCATCCGTAGAAGTGACTCTCTATTCGTTTTGGTTTAACTAAAAGATTGTCGTTCTAACCAAACTGACTCGAAGCTTGTGCCCAATTAAATATAGAAAGAGTTTTGTACCAACACAAGAACTGTAGGCATCTCCCTTAAAGTGCACACCATTTACTACAGGGCATCCACAAACTCTTCCTCGAAAGATATCCTGAACATGCACAAAAATTATGTAAGAATAATAGAACATTTCACACAAAAACTGTAAAATTTTTTAGACAACCTTGCAAGCCCTGATATTAGCTATCTTGTCTTCCCAGCAGCCACCATTATTGTTCAAACACTCGTTCGTCTCTACATCTACACCCAAAAAGTTTCAGCAACAAGCTCATGGTACTCAAGCATTGAAATAAATCTGAAAGCAAAGTATAACACATACCATCACCCAAAAAAACTGCTGGCTCGGTAGTTTCCTCAAAACCAGCACATATAGCCTTCAAAACGGCACCCTTCTCCAATTTTCCTACAAAACAAGAACCACATCGGTGACAAATCATATTTACCATGATCGATGCGAATCACAAACAAATAACTCACACACCTCAATATTGATGATTATTCACGACAAGGGTCGGTAAAATAGTTACATCTTCACGCGTCCCTTTCCTAATCTACAGAAGTTTCTCTTATCAGTCACTTTACATGATAACAAACCATCAAGACCGCAAAATAAAAAGATACAACAGATAATATTTTCACCTGACCCTTTTGCTCCTCCTTCAATACGGGATTATCCACATCAACATTGGGATCACCCATGCATCTTCAATTTTCCTTAGGTCCAGCCCTGGTACCAAATGCAAACAAACATTAAAAACACAAAATAATCTACATACAAACAGACACAAAACAAACGGCATCATCAGAACATATTACCCTAAGATCTAATAACAACCTCAGCACACTCGGCATTGTATTTCTTCTCCTTCATTGGGCACTTAATCTGAGAATCCGTAACGTAATCTCACCACACCCATGTCTTCCTTAGTCTCCCTAAACACACAAAGCTGCCTCAGATTCTCAAGGACCACATCCTTCCCATCATAACCCGAGCTAAAATCCTCCTCAGGGTCCGGCGAACAGTACCTACAATGGTTAAGGCTTTGAGATTTACAGTGCTTGCTCATGGTGAAAACCTGCGGGCAGTTGGTCTGTTAACTTGATATAACGATCCTGGGAGGACTTGGAGCTTTACAATGGCAAGAAAACACATGTTGGTTACTTATTTTTCTTTTTTGATTTTAAGCTCACATTTATTAATAGCAATCTGGCATTTGCTTCGATTCCTATCTTTGGCAGTTGAACAATAATCACTATATGAAGCGTCGATACCAATTTCATTTTAGATAGAGATGTCAAATGTGAAACACGAAAACTGATGTCAGTCGGCCTAGCGGGTCAAACTTGGTTTGGCTCATAAAGAAATTGAATCGAATCAAACATTGAAGCCATTCCCCAACCATACCTTTCTAGAAATCCAGCCCAGCTTCAGCAATTAATTACAAAGACACACAAACTCAGACATCCAGCAAAGACAATGAACTCGTAATCTCAATTGGTGTAAGACTGAAATACCAAATAACATATTCAATCAGAAACAAACCTCGCCAATAGGATCAACACCCCCGAGGTATCGGATTATGGCTTCGCTGCCCCTCCCCACACGAACTGAAAGAAACTCCAATGATTCCTAAAACATATCCCATTTTTATTAGAAAAAATGGGATCACAAGTAGATACCTTCATAGGGGTTTTTCTGTTTTGGCACCAAAATGAAATAGAGAGACGGAAATTATCAGCCACCGCAGACGGCGTTGGCGTCAGTGGCGGTGCCTTGTCATGAGACTGAGGAAAACCCAAAAATTAAAGATGGATTGAGCTTGAGGCTGAAGAAATATTCAGTACCGTCGGGTTCCATTACATCACAGAGGTCGCCGGCGTGAGACGGCTGCGCCGTAGGCCGAACTGCCGCGTTTTCTTGAACACGTTCCTCAGAATCTGGAACTTTCTCCCCGGGGCCTTCATCATCCTCACCCTCCATCGACCATGGCAGCAGCACCGGCAGAAGCAGAAGTCCGCCTTCAGGACCACGGCTGTCGTACCTTGTTTCCGGTGGAAAGTCGCTGTCGAACCAGACAATAGCCTCACCGGTCAAGTTCTCGACGACGATCAGGACTCCAAAATCTCGAGCTGATCTTTGTACATAAATGGTCGATCTATTTTTCCATGAATCGCTGCTCCTGTAACGTGCCCTGGTGAGAATTTGGGAAATGAGATGTTTGGTAGTGATGAGGGAAAGACATTATCACCTTTACCTGCTCTCGTCAAATCTCAGTCCTTGCGTGTGCGGGAATTCTGTGTAAAAGAAGAAAAAGTCGAAAGAAATTCAGTCAAGTCAACCCGGTTGTATGTTGGTTGGTTTGTTTTTGGCTTGTCTGTCTAAAGGGTTCGAATTTATGCATTCGCCTTTAGACGTTTGTAGCTTTTGTTGTAGGTTGTGTCTTTGTAGTCCACCGTTGGAGTGGATCTCCTTTGTGTTGTATGGTTTGTATATTCGAGCTAGTTTGCTCGCCGGTCTGTACTTGAACCTTTTTATTATTATGAGTACTTCTTATCGTTGGAAAAAAAAAAAAAAAAACCCGCATTAGATTACATGTGATACCACAAACGACGCCGTTTTGGTTATATAAAAATTGAGAAAAAAAGAGAAAATTTTATGCCACGTGTCAGCGCCACAACGCCTCATGCTGTTGCCTTATATGTATTGGACAGATATTATTTTTTTTTTTTTTTTCAACACGATAGATTTTATAACTCAGAAGAGAATGTACAAAGTTTACAAAAGCCTAACACAAGTAGGAATACAAGGAGCACCCCTCAGGTGCCCTAAATAACAAAAGCTAACCAAATGACCATTACATAGCTCCAATCTTAGCTTAGGCTGAAGCTAAGGAGACTGAGATTGGGGGCTTGCAATGGCTGTGCTACTAACCGAAATAACACATGGCAAAAGATACTCCTACCACTGAAACAAGTACCTAGCAGGAGCATCACTACAAGGAACAAGAGACAGCATAATCCAACAGCTAATACAACACAAGGAGGAACAAAAGCATTAGAAAAAACTAAAAGAACACAAAAGGAACTAGAAAGCATTCTAACTAAGGGAGCTGGGCATTGTAAAATTCCATCCATGCTGAAGAGGCTGAACGCACTATATTGTACTCAGAAAGCCAGTAGTTTTGAAAAACCCAAAGGTTTCGAGCTTTCCAAATCCACCAAAGGAGATATACAGTGATCTGAACTCTCCTGTCAGCCATGGGGCTTTTCTTCAGTGAGCTGAGCTTAATCCACCATTGCTTGAAGTTGTTTCTGCACTCATCCAAGCCATCCCAATTTATGATTGCCAGCTTCCAAACAGTCTGAGTTTTTGCACAGTGAAATAGCAAGTGTTCTATGGTTTCTGGTTCAACACCACAAAGCTTGCAAATGGGATCAAAAGATTGGAGTCTCTTGTGGAGGGCATTACTTACTGGAAGTGAGTTAGTGAAGCATTTCCAAATGAAGTGCTGCAGCTTTCCTGCTACCTTGAGGGACCAAATTCTGTCTCTAGCTTGCTTAAGTTCTCTACCCATATTGCTACCTTCAGGAACATCAAGTTTGAGCCATTTTTCTTCCACCAGCTTTTTGTACACATCAGCTACAGTCACACTTCCAGATTTGCTATGCTGCCATTTAAGACTGTCATTGCTGAGAGGGTCTAACCCTTTGATGTTGAGGATAGCTGAGCTTTCATCAGGTGGAAAACATTGCTTGACCATCTCCACATTCCAATTTCTCCCTGTCTCATCAATGAGTTCTTGTACCCAGTTAATTCTGCCATTCCAAGGGTTCAGAGGTGTAGGTTTATGGTTTGCCTGAGATGGAATCTAAGGATGTTGCCAGATATTGATCAGTGCTCCATTGTTCACCTTGAATATCACATTCTGATTGAAAAAGGATAATGTTTTCCTCCAGCTGGCCCAAAGCCATGATGCATTTCCTTGTTTCTTTGCAGAGAGTAAAGAGGATGAGGGGTAGTATTTGGCTTTGAGAATTTTGCTAACCAAAAGGTCTGGACAGTTGTGGAGTCTCCATAGCTGTTTGACAATCAGTGCTTGGTTCATAAGATGGATATCATGGAATCCCAAGCCACCCTTGTCTTTTGGCAATGTGATATGACTCCAAGTTTTCCAGTGAATACCCTTGGTACCCTCCTTCTTGCTTTTCCACCAGAAATTAGCAAAGTGCTTTGCTATTTTGTCACAGATGGCCTTAGGCAAAATGAAGCATGACATAGCATAAATGGGTAAGGCTTCCAAGACTGCTTTGAGCAAAATTTCTTTTCCTGCAAGAGAAAGGAAAGAATTTTGCCATTTTGAAAGTTTATTATTAACAGCTTCTTCAATGTCAGAGAATGTCTCAACTTTGGATTTCCCAATGCCCAGGGGGAGGCCAAGGTATTTGGAGGAGGTTTGAGGTTGAATGCCCATGAGGATGTTGCATATTTGGCTTTTGAGGTTCTGGGGGGTATTTTTACTGAAAAAGATTGAGGATTTTTGGAGGTTGACACATTGCCCAGTGATAGCATTGTATTGGCTAAGGATTCGGAGAATGAGGTGAGCTTGGTTTGAGTCAGCTTTGGATAGGAGGAGTGTGTCATCTGCAAACATGAGATGGGTTAGGGTAGGGCTGTTTCTGCAAATTTTGATTCCCTTGTAGTGCCCTGAGGAAGACAAGCTGTTAATGATAATTGATAGGATTTGAGAGACCAATAAAAATATGTATGGGGACAAAGGGTCTCCTTGTCTTATTCCTCTAGTAGGGATCACATAACCACAGACATTGCCATTCACATTAAAAGAGAAAGAAGCTGAATTTAAGCAGGCCAGAGTCCATTTCACAAAAGATTCATGGAATCCTAATTTGATCATGATGTTTCTCACACAGGACCATTCCACTCTGTCAAAAGCCTTTGACATGTCAAGCTTGATGGACATATAATAGGACTGACCTGATCTATGGTTATTAAGAAAATGGATAATCTCATGAGCAAGAATGACATTGTCAAGAATCTGCCTATTTGATATGAAAGCTGATTGGGCATCATTAATGCAGAGGGGAAGGGTTGGTTTAAGTCTGTTGGACAAAATTTTAGAAATGACCTTATAAGTGACACTGCAAAGGCTGATGGGCCTGAACTGGGAAATCATGTCAGGTTTCTGAACTTTAGGGATCAAAGTAATTAAAGTGTGGTTAATACTTTTAAGCATTTTACCTGATTGAAAAAAACTGAGAACCAGAGCACAGAGATCATTTTTAATGAGGGACCAAAAATGCTGAAAAAACAGAGAAGTCATACCATCTTGGCCAGGGGCCTTGTGTGGGGAAATGGAGAAGAGAGCAACTTTAATTTCATCCTCTTCAACTGCAGCTGTGAGATCAGTGTTCATGGATTCAGTGATCACTGGAACAATTTCATTAAGAACTGGGTCTGCATATGATGGACCTTGTGATGAAAAAAGGGCATGGTAGAACTCCTCAATACACTTTGCAATTTCATCTGGTGTGTCACAAACTGATGAGTCTTCCTTGATCAATCTAGTGATTTTGTTTCTCTTCCTTTTGTGAGATGTGTGAGCATGGAAAAACCGGGAGTTTTTGTCTCCATGATGGAGCCATGTAATCCTGGACTTTTGTTTCCAGTATTGTTCTTCCATATTGTAGAGGTCATTGAGCTCTTTCTGAATTGAGTCCCATTTTTGCCAGTCTCTAAGTCCTCCTTCCCATCTAAGCTCAGCCAGCTGTCTGTGGAGGGATTCAATTGCCATAGCAGTTTCAGATTTGAATTTGCAGCTCCACTTGAGGAGGTTTAGTCTGACCCCTTTGATTTTTTCTTGGAAGCAAAACATTGGTGTTCCTGATTGATAACAGTTCCAAGCAGCAGAAACTATTTCAGACACACCTTCTCTCTTGAGCCACCTTTGATCAAAGAAAAATCTTTTCTTTTGTGGTTTGGTCTCTGGATTGGAGTTGAGGCAGAGTAGGCCATGGTCAGATGATGACTTGAATTCATTGAGGACTATGGAGTTTGGGTATAGAGTTAGCCATCCCAGTGAGCAGAAAATTCTGTCCAATTGTTCTTCTACAAACCCTTCTCCTTGTCTGTTGTTTGCCCATGTGAATTTGTGGCCTTTGAGCTCAATTTCATGCATACCCATCAGTGAGATGAATGTGTTGAATCCTCGGAATGATGATAGTGGTCTAGTAGTTCCCCCTTTTTTCTCTTCTGGGCATGTGATCTCATTCCAGTCACCCCCTACAAACCAGTAATCACCCCACTTTTGTTGAGCTTCCAGAAGATATTGCCATTGTTCCTTTCTAACTTGAGGATGGGTACTAGCATAGACAAAGGTACCCCAGCAAGTGATGTTCTTCTCCTCATCCCAGAATTCCACTTAGATGCAAAAATCAGTCTTGATGATTTGAAAGATATGGACATCAGAGTTCCATATGAGCAGAAGGCCTCCACTCCTACCAAAAGGGTCTACAGCAGACCAGCATTCTCCAAGGTTAAGTTTTTTACATATGGTATGTACAAATTTTTCTTTTTTTTTAGTTTCAGAAAAAAAAGCAAAAAGGGGGCGGTGGAGTTTCCAAGACTCCTTGAGCTGGGAAATTGTAGAGGCCCCACCCAGGCCTCTACAATTCCACAGGGTTGTCTTCATTGGTCAGGGTGGGGCCATTTGGGGCTGGCCTCCTTTACCCTAGAGTCTTCAATTTTTTGCTTTTTCTTGCCTTGGTCAATTTCAAGTATTTGGTTGAGCTCTGGATTGGAAGATGTTTCCATGATGGTTAGCTGTCTTTTTGTTCTGGTTAATCTGGCTGGTGTTGGTTGGGGTGGGGGTGTTTTGGGATTGGGCTTTCTCTTCCATTTCTTGCTAGGGGTAGGTTGGTCATTGGGTTCAGGGGTTGGGGTAAAATGTAGAGGGGATGATTTGTCTTGGGGTTCTGGAAGCATTAGGAGATGGGTTTCGTTGGTTGCTGCTATTTGTTGAAAATCAGTGTCCATAGGAATTTGGGGTATAAGGGTCTGAGAGGGGTTAACAAAAGGCGTGATGGATTTGGATGGGGGTGTGATGGAGTTTTCAGTGGAGCTGGGTATTTGTTTATCAGGTTGTACTGGATTTTGGGATATGGCTTGAGGGGTGTTTTCATTGGAATTTTGGGGTGTGGGAGAATGTTTCTGAGAGATGGGTGTGAGGTTAGCCAGAGTTTGGATAGGGCCTGAAGGTGATTTAGGTGTATTATTATGGGTGGGGGAGTCAGAGTGAGAGGTGTTTTGGTTGTAGGAGCCTTGATAAGGAACTGGTTCTTGGGCTTTAAGCCAATCTCCAAATGATCCCTCTCTGAGATTTCCTGTGTCCATATCTTGAACTCTTTTGTCACAAGCTTT